TGCAATGGTACTATTGTGGAAAAGGAGGAATAGTGCTGAATGTCACCACGCCAAAGGCGCCGACTCCATGGGTGCTCTAGGGCGGGAGCACCCCCAGAAAAAAAAATATGGGGTGCTCCCCACCCACCAGTGGCCCCGCTGATTAGCTCCTTCCCATCCCTCCTGCTCAGGGGAGGGGCCAGAACAGAGGTGGAGTGGGAAGAGGTGGGGTGGGCCTTGAGAGAAGGGGTGGAGGGGGGCAGGCCTGGGGCGGAGCCGGGTGGCAAGCAGCCCCCCAAAATTGACAGTCAATGCCTCTGCACCATGTCTGTCAGATGAGGAAAAATTCTCCTGGAATTGGATGATTTTCTAACCCAGCAGACCCAATAAGGAGTGCTGGCATAAGGTTGAGATTCTAGTGCTGAAGGTGTTCTGTGGGCAGTTTAATGTTTTTATAATCTATGTCAGGGGCACCTGGAGCCTTGAATGGATGCCCCTTTTAATTTTGTGTATAAATTTAAATAAAATCAAAGTGGGGACAGACTTTGTACATGATTCTGAGGCACACAAGAATGTGCTGTATGACCGCTGTGATACCAGAATCTAGATGCTTTTTTTTACCAAAGGTGAACTCCTCTTTCCATGCGTTGCAGAAAATTGTCTTCCCATCTTTCTCCCCCGACCTATAACTTAGGCTATGGCATAATCTAGATGCTCCTAGAGCACTAAAAATATACTTCATGAGCATCAAATTAACAAGGAGGTCAGGCTCTTTGTCTCCTTCCACCAGAAGTGCTAAAAATGGACTTTGGACGATCAAATTATGCATCACAGAGGCATACAATACATCATATGAACCTTTTCCTGATGAAATCAAGGTGTACTCCACAAGGTCTTTGGTGACATCATGAACAGAAAAAGGTTTTGCTTCCACTGAGGAAATCTGCAGGGCAGCAACAAGGTCCTCTGTTAACACCTTTGTTATACACTAGAATGTGGACATGCTATCCTCTGCGGAGGCCTCCTTCAGAAGGAACGTGTTGCATGCATTGGTCCACAAACAGCTTGCCAGTTTGATACTTAATTTCAGGGGGAAACTTTCCCTATCTCAGTCTATTTCTGTTCACTGGTTGCTCCTTTTCATCCACCTCAGAATTGTGGAGTTGGTGGGGCTGCAGAATGGGAAATTTCTTAACAGATCATTTCCTTTCTGCTAGCAGTGTCTTCCACATTTCAACCTTTCCCACATGGCTTCTTAGCCAAAGGACAAAATTTAATTTTTATATTTACAGTTTGTGGGCTGCTATACATAGTTTACTGGTTGGCTTTGAAGTTGTTGTTGCATGTTATAGTCTCAGAGTTTGTACACAATATTGGAATGAATTGTCTGGTGGCAAGCCAGAGAAGGGGCCTGGCCCGCACAGACTGTGTTACAATATTTAACTGCCTCCAGAACTGCAGAGAGGAGCCCATACATCTCCGAATTGTGAGAGACAGATAACAGAAAAGAAATTATCCGGGAAGAAATTTCCCATTCATTTAGTTTTGAGATGCACACATTGTTGGATATATTTCTCTTCTGTTTTCTAATATTCCTAAGTATTAAAGATTTGGGATAGGTTAGACTGATGGCACATCATAATTTTACAGAGTTACAGAGTAAGATTTAGTAAGATAACCTATGTTAATTGACAAAATGGATTTATGGTAAAATATGGTATTGTAATATTTCACAATCTTGTAAATAAAAAAAACATGTTGATTATTGCACATTTATTATGTGGAAATTTTATTCCAACACATTCAAACCTTTACTGTATGGGAATTCATTTTTATGTAGGATTTCTGAATATTTATGTTAAGGAACTGTTTCAGATGTGTGTTGCATTTATTTTGCCATGGCACTTAAATAATATCCTTAGAAAAATCCCTATATTTTATTGTTCTTCTGACATAATTATTACTTTATTTTTCCCTGGAAGCTAAGCGAAGCCAGTCTATCAGCAACTGTGTTCATCTTTATGAGGCTTTGCCAGCCACTAAAAGTGTACCTCTTCTGCTTCACACTGTGAGCTCTCTCTTACCTGGTATCTCTTACACTTCTTGCTCTCACAGACTTTCAGGTACTGTACTTAAAGCCATCTTGTATCTAAATGTTCTTTATATTTTTTAAACTGCTGTTGCTGGCTTTTTCTGTCTCTTTAATTATTCTAGTGCATTAGTATGGTTTACACTGCACTCTCTGTCTCTCCTTATCTTACAATTAATCAGTAACAACTTCTGTTGTTAAAGCAGCATTTTGTAGTCCTTGGGAGATATTTCCTCTTTAATCATAAGGTTATCTCATGTTCACTATCAAATTTTGTTTGGATGGTAAGTACTTATATTCAAATAATTCTAGTGATTTTTATTTTTGGGTCACTGGATCTGTACTTACTGTCAAAATGGAGCACCATTTTGAGGACGAGGAGAACAAAACCTTTTTAAATATTTCTTTTTTGGAGTAGTTTCAGGGAAAATATTCCTAGAACTATTTGAATGATGCTTCAAAACAAATCATGCTGGAAAAATCCAGCCAGCCATGGTTTTTCGACAATAAATCCCATTCACTATCAATCTAACAATGAGGTCGCACAAGTTAATGCTAATTGTAAATGTTTGCCTCTAAAGACATTTTCCTGGGGATCCTGATTTCAGAAACAAAAAAACTTTCTATCTATGCTTCTTATTACCAAAAAATTATTTAAACATACAAGGCTTAGACAGTATCATTTTCTGTTTTTGTTCAGACGTTTGGAGCCCCACAAACTATTCTATTTTATACACTTAAACATTAAGGATTTATCTTGACCTACAGTTTATTTAGGTATGTCTTCCTTTGTAACTAAATTAAAATGTATCTGAATTTAATTGCCTTCCCATTAATTATATAGACTGGCTGAGTTAGGTAATATCTTGTATTAGATGAACTTCTGTTGTTGAAAGATACAAGCTTGACCACTCCATTGAACTAAAAATAGACCCATTAAGTTAGTGCTGGAGACCTAAGCTTTATTTTAAATAAAAATGTAAATTCTCGCTTTTGAGAGGCCTCAGCATGTAAAGCAACTAATAGAGTTTTATCAATGTGAAATTCAGGATATTTTCCATTAAAATTGAAGTGAATCAGGCAATTCATTTATAAACGAACACACTCAAAGGTGGGGTGGTCAACAGAGTGTGTGGAGAGGGGAATGTCTTCCTTTTTTGCTGGTCCCCACCACAATCCCCTGCTAGCCCCACTGCTCCCTTCTGCAGACTGCCTTTGGTGTTCACTTCATGTAGACTTTAGGAGATGTGCAGGAGGTAGGCATGGAGAGGGACAGCAGAACAAAGGTGCCAACAGACAAAGGTTTGAAGGCATAGTGGAGGAGTAGGGAAGGGTAGTGGGGGTGGAGAAGAGTTGTGTTGAATTCTCAGGGATGGCCTTGAATTGTCCCTCAGTGAGTTGAAAGCTTATTGAAAGTTCAGTGTACTTTATATGCTTGTTATGTAATATTGTTTGAAGAAACCAGAGCTTGGAATCAATGGTGTAATCTGTATTTGTCTGAACTAAGATTCTGAGTAGGGTTTTCAAGGCTCCCAAGGAATTGCTCTAGCAAGAGACCAAAACATTTTTAAGAGGAGAGGAAGTGTGCATATGTGAATCATTGGATACTTGTTCTGAAGAGTCAGTTTTGATAGGATATGTTTGCTATCCCGTTGGAATATTTTCTAGGAAGGAGCTGGATGTTAGCTTAGGCATGGCAGGGAGCATTAACTAGCATCACTGCCAGGCCTGTCACTACCACCACAACCATATGCTAGGACCCATGACTTTACCATCAAATTCTTAGGTCTTCTGTTTCTTGATCCTGGGAGAAATTCTGACTATTCAAAAAGAATCATCTCCACAATTGTGTTCTGACTAACTCCTGAGATATGAACCTAAGGTTCCTGCTGTCACTCCTTTGCTTGTGTGTTGTTTTCCCTTTTTCCCCACTTGACTCCTCATATTTCTCTCTTCTCTTTATCTGTTTGACTTCAGTCTAATGAGACTTCAGCTTAACCTGCCAGGACAAGTCAAACTATTCAATCTTTTGCTGTGTCCAGAGAGGCAAGATAAAGTGATACCATAGTTCAATTCTGGTAGTTGTTTGCCAGATCCTGAAGAGGCTAATAAGGTTGTGTGCTACTCATGTTACTTTTCCAGCAAATGAATTACAGCTGTAGACAGAGACAGATGCTGAATTTTGCTGTGTTTGCTATCCTTTTCTTTCTCCACCTTTGTGTGCTTGTCTTGTTCTATCTTATGAAGAAACATGATCAGACTTTAACACCTAAATCCAAGAGCTAACACTTAAAACTGAGTCTCCATTTTTCCCAACAAGCATATTTGATATCATCTAAGAAACTGTCAAGCAGGAGGTTTTGCTGTCTTAATAAAGTGAGAGGGAATGAGAGAGAGTATGTTAAAGTTATGGTTTACATAATTTTTAAAAATGCTTTAAATCTCTAAACTTTTTTCTTTTTGTATATTTAATATATATTGAACAGACTTTCTGAAATTGGTAATGCAAAACAAATTTCCTGGCAACATAAACCTGAACCAAGTTAGTGTTGTCGTTGAGGCAGTTAATTAAATAACAAATAGGTAACTTAAATTTTTTAACACGCTAAAAACCCTATCCAGTCCCCATCACAGCAGATAGTATTGCTCATACTTAACTAACCCTGCTAATAGCCTTGGGACACTTACTGAGGATTTTCCAACATGCCTTAGTAGACTTATAGAGGGGTCCAACCCTTCATAAGCCTTAATGGGTTAATTGGGATCTCTTAATGATTCTGGTGGGGGAGGATGGTTTTATTAGGTTTGGCAGATTTTCATGGCCCTCAGGGTCACAAGCCCCCTGATGAACCTAAATAGAACTGTCCAAAGACTGACCATCTTATTAGGCCTGTCAGGTGACTAATGATTCAGATTTTGCTCATCAAGAAAGAACAAGTTTTCTAAGGTTAGGAAGGATTGATTGGCCACTGAAAAGGAATCTGTGGCTCACATTGGATATGTTTAAGCTCTGCCCACCTATCTCATAAGGCTAATAACAGAACCTCACATTCCTTATACCACCTGCATGTAGGGAGTATAGGGAAGGGGGAGGGGTATAAATTTGCTAATACCTGCAGAGTGGACCTCCTGTGCACCTCCTAAGATGTGCAGGTATTGCTCTTATGGATGTGAGACGATCCACTGGAAGGACAGGGATCCCCCTCCCCCTGCTCCTTATATCTCCTATTCTTCTCCCAACTTACAAATCTCATAAGGTCCCCAGGAAAGGATCCAGCTTTCTGTGCCCATTCTAAGGACTGCAGGAAAGGTGATCCCCTCCTGTATGTGTAAGGAGGCACCTAAGTCTGAGTTGCAACATGGGAACAAACCAATGGTCTATTTAGTTCAGTGTCCAGTCTGTGCCAGCGGTGAATGCTGGATGATTGAGGAAGGCATAACTAGGGGAATAGGCTATGAGGGAGTCAGTAGGAATGGGGAGAATGTTCTGCCCCTAGATTTTACCGTTATTGTTATGAATGTCTAATACTGCTTGAGACTTACTAATCTGTTTTTCTGAATCAGATCCCTTAGAAGTGAGTCCCGTTGGATAGTTATGCAAGGTGTTTATTAAACATATATATATATATATATAATATTCTTTTTATCCATTTGGAATTTGTTGACTTTTTAAGTTCCCATTTTTTCCTTTATTATGGGAAAAGTAAATGGGAACACCAAATTAGTCTTCTCTATACTGTTCATTAATTTATATATCTTCTCTCACCCTTTTCCTTTCTAAACTAAAAAGTCTTAGTTTTTTTAATCTCTCTCCATGTGACACCTCCCCCCTCCTTCCCCCGGCCCTCAACACCCACTCTATGACTCTAATAATTTGAGTTTCCCTTCTCTGAACCTCTTCCTAATTCTGCTGCTGGAATACATTTTTTAATGAATTTCTTTTCAGTTGTGGAGAGCATTTGGTAACTAAAATTGAAATTTTTCATTTTATTCTCATAATTTCTATGTGTTTTAAATATTTAGCTTGTTCATCTTTTCACCTGACTTTGCTATGTTAGTGTGTAGTAAATGTGCAAAGACTTTTAGAATCCTTGTAACACATTTTATTTTAATTGAAATCTGCAGAAGTTGAAGAAGCTCAGCAATCAGAAAATACAACAGGAGCAGAGTCTAGTGGCCTCTTTGCAGACCAGGACCAACAACTAACTCGAAGCAGTAGCACTTCAGACGTTACAGACCAATTTAGTTCTGATTTTTTTCAAGGTAAATTTTGTGACATACAGTAGCTATACAGTATTAAGCTGCCTTTGAATCTCATTAAACTACATTTGTGAATTGGAAGGAAAAATGTCCCATTGCTGTTGTATGAATGTATATTTATGCCATAATGTCTGTTCATTTAAGCTATGGTACAATAAATCCTGTTATTCAGTGTTCTAAACCCTGTTTTTTAAATAACAAATTTAAATGTAACATAAACATGCTCCTAAAATAATACCTCTGAATATCTCCATCCACCCACGCATTGAGGATGTTCAATAGTATAAATATCTCACTTAAAAAGTTAGTTTTAACCCTTTGAAGGTGCATTAAAAATGGCCAAGGAAAGTATATTTAACCTTAGTCTTTGGCTACATTAGAAAAATTAGGACTTAATTTACCAGTGCAGCTCCTAATTCAGCATCACTGGATGCTGTAGTGTAGGTAAGAGCCATTTATTTTTACCATCCTGCTTTAAAAACAAGTTCTGCTTTAGTGATCATAATTAAAATGTAATTTATCTTTTGCAAAAAAGTAGTGCTACGATTGTATTTTTCTATATTGGAGTACTTGGTAGTGTTAATTAATTTGAACTCTTAACAGGGTTAGATGACTTGGTGAACACATTAGAATACTACAGTTTCCTCTCCTTGTGCAACCACTGATGAACTGCAAGTCCTAATTTTCCAGTATAGCTGTAAGCTTAGAGTGGTCACCAATAAAACATTAACACTTCCTGCTCATAAGTAATTCTTTTTGCACATACTCCCCATTGTAGAGGAATACAGTGGTAACATTAATTACGTGCAGGTGGTAAACTTAATGAGCTGACCAGTTTTCAAAATAGCTTCAGTGAACTCTCGCTCTTCCCCAGTGTGGACAAGAGCATTTATAAAAACTTCCTGTTTATAATGTTTTGTTTATAGGAGAGTATGTTGAAACCTTCCATGTGAGTTAGTTACAGGCGCTTTATACTATGGCAGGTCTACACTTAAAATGCTGCATTGGTTAGGTCCCTGCCGACATAGGGCTGTCTTCACTTGTAGTTAGGTCGGCGGATTATTCATACCCCTGAGCAACGTAGTTATACCAATGTAACTCTATAGTGTAGACCAGGGCTTTGAGTACCTTACCAATGATTGAAAGACAGCTATCATTGCCTAATAATTTACCTATATAGTTTTAGAGATGTTTCCTCCAGGGTTTATCTGCTGTGATGCTGACTATACTCTTGGCTACATCCATTTGCCTGCCATTCATCTAAGAAGTATAGGGAACAGTCAAGCAAACTTTCTTATCTGCCTTATCGAAGGGCCTCATAAATGGACACTGAGCAGTTTAGTGAGATATTTGATTTCATTGTATAATTGATTTGCCATTAGCACATAGCCTGATAATATTTTACCTGCTATGCCCCAGAAAGGAAGTACCAGCAGACACATTAGTAGAAAGGTGTTGGGAATCTTGAGTGGCCATTCTATGTGCTCTATCTGTTCTGTGGGAAATATAACTTCATTTTCCAGCTCTGTTGTTCCAACGCTTTTCACAAGCACTAAATTCTCTTTGACAAGTGTCTCGTTTTTAGTTAAGTTGTAAAAATCAATTTGGCTCTAGGCAGTTGTCATTTGGAGGTGTAGAATATCATCTTTGTTAAAGCAGGACTTGTCTCACAATGAAAGCCACTGAAAATATCTGTGATTGGTGTGTAACTTGTCATTTCCAGAATCTAGCACTGCGTTTACATTTCACACACCACAGCTAAAGATTTTAGTTGTATTCTCATAATGGCAGTTTTTTACACTATTTATGAGGGAATTATCCACATAATTGAATGCTTTCATGATATAAATGATTTCACAACAATTCTACACTATCATATGAGAATGTCATATTCAATCACTTCTCTGTAAATATTAGAAAGATGAAAAAGATGCACTTATTTAGTGCTGTTTTGAATCGTTTTAGAATTAGCCCACAGACTCCATTTCCTTAACTGTCTGTATTTCTTGTCTCATTTGTTTCCTTTTTAAAATTTTGATTATGCAGATAAAAAGACTGAGAGTTCGCAGAATTTAAATTGTTTGGATTCCAAATCCATTCAAGACAAGAAGGGATATATGAAGAAAGAAAATGAAGCCGAACATGTAAGGCAAAATTGATAGACTCTGATCCAAGGTCTAATATTTGACAAGGTCCTAAGAACTTTTCATTTCTAATTATTAATATAAATGTTTAGAAAGTATAACAACTGAAATTTTAAGTTTGTGGATCCCATTGATGATATAGAAATTGGAATAAAACTGTAGCTGTTAATAGCAAGTATTTTGAATATTCTGCATCTTCTAATACTATAAGGCTGTAACACTCGTTTATGGAAATACTATAATGAAGATTACATAAAGCAACAGATAAAGACTATGTATACGTGTGTGTGTGTGTGTGTGTATATATATATATATATATATATATATATATATATATATATATAAATAAACACAGAGTTCATAACTGTCATATAAATTAAAATATATTCATTACCGAATTGCATAGTACTTAAACAAATGTTTGATAGTTCATGAAGTGTTCAGAGAAATGCCTTTCTCAGCACAATTTGCACCATCGGCCATTTATTTCAAAACTTTGTCTATGTCAGCATTCTGACTGACGGGTTTTTTTAATTTTTCATGTTACTTTTGAATAAACAGCAGAAATAATTGATGATTGAAACTGGTGATACTGTTAGAAGTGCAATGCAATATCAAATTGATGACTGTAGTTTGAAACTCTGGTTTGGTCCACTGCTATTAAGTGGGTGTAATCTAAAAGCAACATTGGGACTGCACACTTGGCTCGAACAGAGGGGGAACACTATGTATTGCTCTGCTGCAGTTTCTTTGCCTGAATTGGGTAAAGACAATGGTGGTGGGAGTAAGAGATTAACCCTCCTCCCACCTTTTTATATTATTGACATGCTGGTCAAAATATTTACTACCTCCTGATAATGCTGCCATCAATATTACACTTCCCACTTCCTTTGCAAGTTGATATTGAGGTTGTGGCCATATTTATTGCATAAATAACTGAAAATATTATGTGAACCAGTGCACAGCTCAAAAATTACTACATGCTGGATTTATCTGACCACTGCTCAACATGAACCTGATTTGTTGGGAAAAACAAAACTGTATGCAGTCTTCCAAACATGCTGCATATGCCTGAGGATTGGTTGCCAATTCCTTCCTCACAAAAATCAGCTGTGGGGCCACAAGTTCCAGAAAGACAATCTCTGCAAATGAATTCATTGCCTCCTGGATGGCAGTGCTTCGGCCTGAGAAACCAAATAGGGTGAAAAGTTGGTCATAAGGCCTGACCAATGTATCAAGAACCCTTAAGGTCTTTTGACATCTAGGTCATCTTTCCTTTTTAAAAAATTAAGAATATTAATTGCAAATACATCAAAGGTCTGTTTTTTTTTAACATTTTAACTGATAAGTTTTTAACACCCATATAATCTAGGAAATTTAGAGTTAAAGTTTCCACAGCAATTAACTCTAGTAACATGCTCCTACTCTATGCCTTATGTGATATGGTCTTTTATTAATAGAATTATAGAAATGTAGGACTGGAAGGGACCTTAGTAGGCCATCTGGTCCAGTCCCCTGCACTGAGGCAGGACTAACTCTGAATAAATCAGAGTTAGTTTTCAGTGATACTTATGTATAAATGTATATGCATCTTAATAGAGGAAAGTATTCTAACATCTTATGGGATATATTTTTCAAATTAACCAGAAATGAATTGAGAGGAATTCAATTTTATATTTTTTCTGAAGGTTTTAATACGAAGGAGCAGCAGTCCAGCTGAATTAGATTTGAAAGCAGACTTGCAGCAGTCACTTGGAAATCATAGAGAAAGAGAAATGAGTGAGTTCCAGGAAACCAAATTATTTTTCTAAGGAGTAGTAGTTTGTGGTGGCACGTGCTAATTTGACTAATCACATATATAATATTGATTACCTTTAACCATGTTTTTGAAAATAAGATTTTTTTTATTGTAGAACATTGCTTATGACACTTAGTAATTCCTGTTTACTTTAGGTGAAAGTGTTAGCAGTGACATGTTCATTGGCTACAATAATGAAGTAGAGATTAGCCTGGTCCCCTGGCAAACATGTGAAGAAGAACATGAAGTTAATATACCAACAGATGTTTGTGTAGATGCAGATGCTCGTCACTGGCTGCAGCTTAGTCCTTCCGATGCTGCAAATTTAACAGGTACCTATGTTCAAGAAAATGCAATAGATATTGTAGATTTTTGTCACAAAATGGTAGAACTTACACATGCTAGTTTATACAACTCAATTTGCATGCACTTTTTTGCTTTTTAAAAGTGTTTGTTTTAACTGAGATGAGAATTATTTGACATTAAATGTAACCCTAATGGCATGGTTCACCTTTTAAGATAAAATATTGTACAATCGTAGTAATGCTTTATTTTCTTAATTTTGAATAATATTAATAACACTGTTTACTGCACTAGTGTCTAGAAAGTTAACCCTTCCTCAGAGAATGTGTTAACACTCCTCTTACACTTCATCACAATGATGTATCGATTTGATTCCCTAGGCCAAATGTTGCACAACAAAATACACACAGACACACACGAAAATGGAAGACAATGAAACACACCCAGCAAATGTATACTGAATGTTATTAAATGAGGGACAATTCTGGAAAAACGTGATAGTGAAAAGAATGTCAGACATCACTAGTATCTCAAAGGGAAGGACATCTCCAAGATCCTTGTTTGTCCTCTGGTTATCTTTCATCTTGAGATTTGGTAGTGACATAAGTAATTGGATATTTAGAAAGTGGAGAAAGAGATCTGTAGTCACAAGAATATCACGTAAGGGTTAAGAAACTGGGTCTACTAGAGTTAAAATTGGCAGTAGAACTTAATATCCTACTATTTAATTACACTAGATACCATTTTAGAATCATAGGAATGTAGGGTTGGAAGGGATTTTGAGAAATCATTAAATCCAGGTCCCCACACTGAGGGAAGGACCAAGTAAACCTAAACCATCCCTGACAGGTTGTCCAACCTGCTCTTAAAAACCTCCAATGATGGGGATTCCTCCGCCTCCCTGGTAAGCCTGTTCCACAGGTTAACTATCCTTATAGTTAGAAAGCTTTTCCTATTATCTAACCTAAATGTCACTTGCTACAGCTTAAGCCCATTACTTTTCATCCTAGCTTCAGTGGACGCAGGGAATAATTGATGATATCACTGAGACACTTTTGAAAATCCTATACTTAGTTAATATCTCTTCCAGCCTGCCAACTCTTGAAATGTATCATATTTTAATGAGAAGCAACTAATATCTTTATGAAGATTTAAGAGGCAGGTTGTCTGTACACAAGGGCAGGTATTTGGCTCGACCTTGTAAGTGTAGCTTTGGAGATTAAAGAACAAAGTTATGATAGCCTATGATTGATAATTGGTATAAAAATAGAAGACTGAAATGGTAGTTAACTTCTGTTTCATATGGAAAGCAGTAAAGGGGCAAAACTAAAGACATGTCAAGTACCTATACAAAGTTCCTTCCAAAGGTTATCAAAGAATATAGTGGTACTGACTATATTCTCGTGCTTTTGTTCCTTGCTTTTTATTTTTTATCTCTTGTTTCCTTCAGATAGAAACTTCATTACCACTTTACTTTCATAGAGTGCATTTATTGGAGATTAGAAAGATACTACAGGTCTGTCTCATCTTATGCGGGGGCTCCGTTCCGTGGTTAGCGCGTAAAGCAAAAACCGCGTATAGTCAAAATTACATTGAGTTCAATGGCGGGCGGAATCCCCTGCACTACGGGTACAGTATTAAAATTTTTATTTTTCTCTCTTTTTTTTGCCGACCGCGTAAAGCTGAAATCGTGCATGCTAAATGCGCGTAAGATGCGACAGACCTGTATAAGTAAATAAGGGGGAAATCCCATTTGCTAGCCATGATTCAGGAAGAAAGAATGTGCTATTCTTCAGTTGCTGTTCTTTCCTCATGACAATGATTTTCCCAATATTAAACATTTGGAATCCATGTCTTCAAGCTCTAGCTTTGAATGCTGAATCAGAAATGGGAATTGCAGACTCCCTTTATTAAAAGATTTAGAAAGTCAGACTGAAGATAATGGTACATTTTAATTCAGTATTTATACTCTCTGAAACAACCACTGTATTGGTACAATCTTTGTCCAGTTGAAGTCAGTAAAACTCTTACTGATCTGGGGGGAGAGAGGTGGGCAGGCTTTCACCCTCTATGTTGAAGTTTTTTGTATAGTATTGTGCATATGCTTTAATTATGTAGAAGTCTCCAGTGTCATTAGGAAATGCATTAGAATATGGATCTAATGAAGGGAACTTCCTAAGAAAAGTCAGTTTGTTAGTAATTTTCCTTTACCCTTTTCATTTTAATTGTTGTAACTTTGACATATAGGATACAACATTTATGACTATGTATTGTATTCTTTTGGTGCTTTGTTCTTTGTAAAGGCTACCTTCCATCTAATTTTTAATAAGTGCATCATAGATTTTATTTCAGTAACTTAATCAGGTAACATAAGAATTTTTCTGGTAGGCTATTTTCTATGATGAGATATAGTTTCAGGGTTAGCTACTCCATTTATTCAATTATTCTTTGAAATACTACTAATATAATGAATAAGTGCACCCAGTTCAATAGTTCAACTTGTCATCAGTACAAAGGGAGATTGTAATATAACATATGTTAAGGATTATTACCTATGTGAAGAAGACAAATTGCTAGCTTGCTTTCTATCCATAATACAAGAACTTTGCTCTTTGCATATGCAAAAGAAAACTAGTTTTATAAAATAATTTGATCAGTAACCTAGAGTAGAAAGGCAAATGTAGTAATAAGATTGTAATTACCTAACAGAATGAGTGTGCATAACTGTATTTCACATGTTGAGAGAGTGTTAGTCATGTTAAATATTAATATCTTTCTTTCTTTCTTTTTTTGAAACCATTTTTAGATTTAGTGGGGCTCAAAAATTCCAAGGTTTAATTCTTTGAGTTAACTTCATTTTCTTCTGTCTGATGTAAAATATTTGAGTTCATGCAGAAAAGATGGATGATTTGGCCTTTCATATCCTTTGAGGGATTCAGGTTTCCTTGTCAATGCTGGAATACTTCTGTAGAGCTCCCTGAGACACCCCTTTCTCCTATGGCACCACAGCTCCCTCAGAACCTTTGAGAGTTTCACTGAGCAACCAGCATATGTTGTTAATGCATCATAATTTTTGAGGGGGTGATGCCACAGAGAGCATCCCGCTCCTAAACTCATTACCTCCCAATGTGCAGAGCACCTACTCTGTAGTGCACCTGCTTGAATGGCTTCTCTTGGACTGTGGAAAGAACAAGAGCATGCTGTGGAACTGTTGCCATAACTCCTTTGGAGTTTCCACTGTAAATACTCCTCTTTTAGCTCCCCTCTGTGCACTGTAGTGGAGGAGATAATGTGATGAATTTCCATAGATGCAGTAAAATGATACATCTAACTGGAGCTCACTTATGGTTTTCAGTTTATATTTTGGGTATTCGTGTTAATTTTACTTAGTGTTTTCATTAATACCTGTTTCTCCAAAGGTAAGAGTATTTGGTCTTGTGATTTAAAAGTTCTCTGAAGCTAAATTTACAGTTTGTTTGTAGAAGCCTCTAGTGCTGGTGTTGGATAAGAGTTTGTAATCAGTGGTAATAAACCTATCAGAAAAGAGAAATAACATGAAAATAGCAAGGACAGGAAAAGTTATGCTAATTAAAGTTCATGTATGCATATTGTATGACATTTTTGAGTGATCGCACATGGCCATTCCACTGTAGGCGTGGGTGCTCCTCGTGCACAGAGGCCAGAGATTTTTTTCCCCCTCAGCAGTACCCATCAGGTGGCTTGTGCACTTTATGTTGCCACATGCTGCTGCATGCTGGTATAACGGGGTGGGGCCACCCCCGACTCCCCTCAGTTCCTTCTTAACACCAGTGAGGGTAGTTGGAACCATCTGGGTCTCATTAACTCAAGTACCTTCCTCTCTCATTGTAGATAGTTGCAGTTAGTTATGGTTGGTTATTTTTTTGTTGTTTTTTTTCTTAAGTAAGTTAGCATTAGGTTTCTGTGTTTGTATCCATTTGGACCGGTTTTCCTCTTTTGGTACTGTGCTCCGTACCAAAAGGATGCCTTGCTCCCCAGGATTAAGTCCTGTGAGACTGGGAGTGGCTGGGTCACTACAAAAAGTAATTTTCCCTCTGTTGATACTCACTCCTTCTTGTTAATTGTTGGGAATGGGTCACATCCACCCTGATTGAATTGGCCTCGTTAGCATTGACCCCCCCCCACTTGGTAAGGCAACTCCCATCTTTTCATGTGCTGTATATTTATACCTGCCTACTGTATTTTTCACTCCAGGCATCTGGTGAAGTGGGTTATTGCCCACGAATGCTTATGCCCAAATAAATTTGTTAGTCTCTAATGTGCCACAAGGACTCCTCGTTGTTTTTGCTGATATAAATTAACACAGCTACTCCTCTGAAACGTACTCAACAAAGTTTCAGGGAATCCCACTCTTTCCTTCCTTGATGTTTTCTATAATTGGCTTCCATGTATGCCTACTTGCATTGTTTAATAACATAGTCATCTTAATTCCCAAACAATCGATGTTTTTTGTTACTTATTTAAATTCTCAAAGTATAAACATGGTGGAAATGTAGGGTTTTTTACTAATTGAGAATGATTTAATTTATATCCAGAAAAATCTCCAAACTTCTCCATGATGATTTAAGTGATACAAATAGTTTTACATGGATTTCTTACTAATAATAGCATGTCATCCCCTTGCAGTGTAATCCTGGACATAGCCTTCTGCTTCTGCTAGTAAATGATAAGTGGGAATGGTGCTTAAGGGGAAATCCTACCTAGTGAAATAAGAAAAAAAATGAAATTGTAAGCATTTTGTATGTACCACCACTACAGGGCATGAATAAATCATTGTAATCAAATACCTAAACTTTGAACCCAGAGCAAATTATTTAGGAGACTCTAGATACTGCTGTTAAACCCTAACAAAAGCCTTCTCTAATTACATGACCATCAGTGACAACAAATTATTCTTTGTCTGTCATGTAATGTGCCATTATCTGTAGATACTACCCACTTCTTGTGTAGAATAATTAATGAAGCTCAGTTTCCCTTTCATTTTGCCTAATCTGTTAGCCATGATTTTAGTAAGTAGTAGTCTGTGTTTTAATAATGAAAACCATTATTTCACTGTTTTGAATCTTTTTGTGTTTTCTGAATGGGGAATATCACACAGTACTTGGGGTATTAGGTAAATTTTATTTTTTCCTAACTAAATTAATTGTACTGGAGTCAAAATTTCCCATATTTGACTCCTAAACTTATAAAGAAAGCATTTGTTTGTTCCCATTATTAACTTACTGCATCTCAGGGAATGCATATGGCTAAATGTCTTTTTGATGTTTTATTTCTGAGTTTCAAATGCCAATCATGTTGGAATTAGAAAAGGAGAGACTGGATGAGGATACCTCACAATAGGAAGTTCAAGAGGCTATAAAAGGGCCAAAATTGGATGCATCTCCAGGAGAAAAAATGACTTGACGGCAATTTTACCAATTATCTGTAGAAACATTCCTTGAGAAAGTTGTTGCTCTGAATATATACTTTGGATAATGAATGCTTAAATTCATAGCTCAGAACTTTTTTCATGACCATTACTCCCTTGTTTTATATGATTGTTTGTGTTTTGTGGACCACAGGTATACTACTCGTTGTATTTATAAATGATGGAAACCAATTTTTTTTATTCTATAGACAGTAGCGAGTTCCTTGCTGATGACTGCAGTATAATTGCTGGTGGAAACCTCATAGGTTGGCATCCTGATTCAGCTGCTGTGTTATGGAGAAGGATCTTGGGAATTCTTGGAGATGTGAACAATATCCAATCTCCTAAAATTCATGCCAAAGTTTTTGGGTATCTCTATGAACTATGGTACAAACTGGCAAAGGTATTGTTTTTAATGTGTGTTTTATTCTAATGCAAAGAGTGTGATTTTGTATTTGCTATAAAAATTAATTTATAGTATATTCTAATAAAAGCTTACTAAGCAGTAAAATGCACTTTTTATTAGAATATTTAAGGAATTTCAACTGCTCATGCTGGTTCTTTTAGTGATACTGTAATTTTAACAGTGAAGTAACCAATAAAGTGTGGTGTTTGGAGGGAACGGTTGTATTGTAAATAAAGAAAAAGGATGTTTGAATTTCAGTAAAAACACCTAATAAGAGACAATTCTGTGTAGTAACAAAAAGGATTTAAATTAATATATTCTGAGATGGTAAAATAGTGAAATAGAAGCAATGAATTAAAAGTACAAAATAATTCACAAATGTTGGGAGTTAGTGTAAATTTCCACAATACACCCTTAAAATGATAATATTTTATTAGGATGGAGGAATACTACCACACACTTTTCTGTTGAATTTGAGTTCATTGGAAAGTAAGTGTGTGTGTGTGTGTGTGTGCGCGCGCACGTGTGAGAGAGACAGAGGACAGCACTTCCAGTAGAAAGGCTGGGAAGTAATCATGTATTGTAAATAATACTCATTTTAATGTATTAAATATTTTATTAATCCCCTCCCTTTTCTTTTTAAATTAGATAAGGGACAATCTTGCTATAAGTTTGGACAACCAGTCTACACCCTCTCCTCCTGTTTTAATTCCACCTGTCAGAATATTTGCATCATGGTTGTTCAAGGTAAATTAGTTTTAAATTCTGCGCAGAGTAGTATTTTGCTGCATGTCTATATTGAATCACTTAATGGCATTTTTACGGTGTTGCTTTCTGCAATCCTTGTTGTTCTAGATGTATTAGAAAAATAATCAGTGTCCACCCTTTAGCTATACTTTTGTCTCGAATAGCTAAATGACTCTTGAGAATCCATATTTAGAATGGTTTCAGAGTAGCAGCCGTGTTAGTCTGTATCCGCAAAAAGAAGAACAGGAGGACTTGTGGCACCTTAGAGACTAACAAATTTATTAGAGCATAAGCTTTCGTGGACTACAGCCCACTTCTTCGGATGCATATAGAATGGAACATATATTGAGGAGATATATATACACACATACAAGAGAGCAT